TCCCTACACCCACATCACTCCCTCCCAATCATATGCATCTCTCTAGTTATACTATTGTTCAGTACATTGTTCACAATACTAAGCATTCACTCTCGTAGAGCATTAAAAATTTCTAACCAGAAAATCCTAGAGGAAAGCAAATTATTTTCTTTTATGACTATTCTTTCTTTTAATCTTCTTCTCCTTTAAGTCCTAGGTCCCTGGGAGTTTCTGAGATGTACCCCAAATGGAATGAGTTTTTCTTATATACAGTTTGTTCACTTTGAAAATGGAAGATTCTGCTCCTGTCAGTAATATGCCTGGCTCTTATCTTGTAGCTGAGAAAATAGTTATCTGGCGCTTTGAGAACACAGGCACTCTGCTGGTTAATCCACATAGTCCTGGTTGCTGGATTCTGCTGCTGTTTGTGGCTCTGTTAGCCTTAAGGACTTATCTCCCTTTCTCAGTTTTGATTGTGATGTCTTTGTGGAATGTCTTGTCACTTTTCTGCAGTTGATAATTGTGCAGTTTTATTACTTTGTTCTTGTTGCCATTCACCAACTACTTAGAAATCTTTTTTTAAAGGAATTATTTACTGGGACTAGCAGATGGCATAGTGATTATGTCGCTGGACTCCCAGATGGCCGACGACAGTTTGAGTCCAGACCTGGTGGTTGAAAATCATGCCGGGTGCATGTGTGTGTGCCCAAGATCCCAGGAGGGAAATGGAGGAGAAGGATTGTGGTGTGGCTGTCCTTCCTGGGAGGTGGTTTCTCACTTTCTCTTCAGCAAGTACACATGCCCTGGGGCAAAAAAAAAAGAAAAAAGAAAATGATTTACTTAATTTTATTTATTATTAATTTGCTATAGGCCATATATGCTCATCACAGAGAGAGAGAAAGTGAGAAAGCAAGCTGCCAGATCTGGGACTCAAGTCTTGTGGGAGTCCAGCACCTTACCTACCATGCCTGCTGCTGGCCCCACTTCTTAGGAATCTTGCTGTTGTCCATTGTCCACCTGCCCTGTAGAGGTGGGGAGTGGCAAATCTGACTGCAGAGTTAATAGGCACGATATATAATCCGTGAACCTTGCTGGGGACTAACGATGCTTGAGAGTGGCTCTCAAGCTCTCAGTATTGCTGATAAGTGCTAAAGAAATCAGACTTTCTTTACCATGAGGGGTGAAGCCAGGTCTCTATTATTAATAATAATAATATAAAAAAAGTGGGCTAAAAACAAGCATCTTTTCCTGGGCTTGGTTTGTAATCGGATGTGCTCATCTTGCCACACTATGCCATTGTATCTCCAAGGTCTGCTAACCTCCTAGAGTGATTTTTGTTTATTTATCAGCATGTTTATGATAGAGTGTTGCTTAGAAAGTGGAATTCCATACCAGTGTTAGCTAGTGTTGATCTCTAAGTGCAGCACTTCCTGTTGCTGGCTGATACATGACTGTGACTTTCTTGGGTTTCTTGTCAGTTGCTGGATTTGTGCTGTTTCAGTTAACTGCTGTCTTTGTTTACATGTGTGCCCCCTTTTTACTTCTTCCATGAGAGAGACAGAGGGAGAGAGGCAGATACCTCAAACAGGGCCTTCCCATCACAATCCACCCCAAGTCTCAGCCAGCCCAGATCATGGGCACATGTGTGCATGCCCAGCATACACAGGAAGGTCTCTGGACACAAACCCAGGACCTTCCCATGTGGGTCCAATTGCATTACTGATGTGCCACCACCTGGCCTCATGCCTGCACTTTTAAAGCACTAACATCAGCATTTACAATGGTTTGTATGAATGCCTCTCATACGGTATTTGGATATTGTTTGCAGTTTGTTGAGTTAGAAAATATGAGCCTAGGTCATTATGTCCTTCAGTTTGGTTAATTAAGAGTGAAAAGAGGGACCAGCAGTAAGCATAATGGCTATGTCACCAGACTCCCATGTAGTCGACCGTGGTTCAAGTCCTGGACCCGGTGGCTTAAACTCACACTAGGTGTGTGTGTGCGTGCCCAAGATCCCAAGAGAATGGAGAAGGGATTGCGGTGTGGCCACCCTCCCTGGGGGGTGATTTCTCACTTTCTGTCTCTCTGTCTCCCTCTGTCTGATGAGCGCACATGCCCTATAGTGGAAACGTCTCCAAAAAAAGAAGAAAAAAAAAAAGAGTGAAAAGAAACACTCTCTGCTGGGTCCTTTTCCGCAACAAGAAAATCTGTCTTTTACTCCTGTGGAGATGGAGAAAAGATGGGGTAGCACGTATTAGCTCCATTAACCTTAAAGCCATATCTTTTGTGGTTATCTAGATCCACTGAATTACTGCTGATAAATTAACCAGAAAATACCAAAAATAGATTGGTTTAATACTAGATTGGGAAGAGGTTCTGAGTCAGTGTAGACAGACACTGGCTCCATTCAGTCTCATCATGGTGCCTGTCCAACAGCTGTACCAACAGCTTGTCCTTGTCACCTTTTAAATGTAAGCAATGTATGTGCCAGCAGGTGAAATCCAATCTGGGTGACATCACTTAGTTCTTTGGCTAGAATATATGACAAACCCTAGCATATAGTAAAGAGCCCTGCTGAAATTTGTAGGGAGAATTAACAGTTGAACTCAAATCCCAGCTCAGCCACTGACGTCTAACCTCAGTCATTTCCCCTCACAGCTAGAATAGTAAGTAGGTCTATTTCTAGAAGAGGGACCCTCATGATGTTTTCTCCTTTTTGATACTTCTCTTTCTTCTCCCCAGTTCTCCCTCTTCACTGCCATCCATAAGCACTACAGCCTCGATCAGTGGCAAGAGTTTGCTAGCCAGAATCCTGACTGTCTTGAGGTAACATTGGGCGTGCCCTGCTTCCTTACCCATTTTCCAAGAATCTTTTTTGTTGCTTCTTGGGGACCACCCCCATCCCAGATCCCTTTTGGCTGGTCACCAGATCACCTCTGATATGCCACAGGCTGGTCCAACGCCTCTCATGCCAGCGACTGTTTCTCCCACAGCATCTGGCTGCCAGCTCAGGCACAGGCACCTCTGACTTTGAGCAGCTGGAACAGATCTTGGACTCTATTCCCCAGGTGAAATATATATGCCTGGATGTGGCAAATGGCTACTCTGAACACTTTGTTGAATTTGTAAAGGATGTGCGGAAGCGCTTCCCCCAGCACACCATCATGGTATGTTCCTCTTACCCTGTAGTTGGTACCTCCCTCTCCTGCTCTTTCCTGCCACTCCATTTTGTTAACATCACTTCCTTTCTCCTCTGCTGCATTATGCTATTCCCAGGCCACTGAATCATGTTACTGGTTCCAAGCTTAAAATGTCTGTTTATTGGTCAATGTAGTATTTCTGACTCTTGATTTATACATTGCTGTTGTAAATCTAGTGTCCCTGACATCACTCACCAAATAATGGAACATTTGTGCATTATACATACCTGTGGTAAATCCACATCTACCCACTGAAATGGACATGCACTACAATCATATGAAACAGTGCTTTATTGTTTGGCAAGCATACGGGAGTGATGACAAGGCCTTGTTTTATTCCCCCAGCATTGAAGGGTGTCTCTGTACTGTCCACCAGAAGATAGGCAGATGAGTATCTAGCCTACATTACCATGTCTTCCCCCTTTCTTTGAAGCCAGAGAGGTTCTGTGACAGAACAGCTTCCCAGGACAGGATATGTTTGGGTGTGTTGGTGGGGAAGGGAAGATAAATTTATCCTAAATCAGATCTGAGGTTGAGCTGGTGGTTCCTTTCAACTCACTGAATGCTTCTCCATGCCACCTCACATTATCCTGATCATTGCTTGAAGTGGTAAAGTGCATTCTGAACCTCAGCTTTACCCTAGTTGAGCTGTGACACTGGCTATTCATCCCCTGACCCTCAGCTTGGGGTGAGGGTAGGGGGATCAGAGGTGGACAAGTGGGAAGCAGGGTTCTTTGAAGTAACCAGTGTCGGAGCTCTCAGAAGGCCTAGGAGAGAGGTGCTGGGTACTCTTTCTTGTAGTAATGTTGGAAGGTCATGGTCCAGATGTGGTAGAGATGGATAAGACACTATATAAGGAGTATGCAATCTCTTCTGTTTCTGACCCTAAGGTTGCTCCCTATTTTGATTGCTCTGTCTCAGGCAGGGAATGTGGTAACAGGAGAGATGGTGGAAGAGCTGATCCTCTCTGGGGCTGACATTATCAAAGTGGGAATTGGGCCAGGTAAGCTGGTCTCCCGGGGACACTGGCTTCTGCTTCACTGGCTAACACCAGGGGGGCACTACATCTCCCAACCCTTGTCATGTTCTTCCCAGGCTCTGTGTGTACCACCCGGAAGAAAACTGGAGTGGGGTATCCACAGCTCAGTGCAGTGATGGAATGTGCGGATGCTGCTCATGGCCTCAAAGGCCACATCATTTCAGTAAGGGCCAAGAGCAGGCAGGACACAATGTGCCAAACAGCTGGGTTTTCTATGATGTGGAGGCTGTGGTAGAGATGGATCAGGACTCCTGGGTTCCTGGCAGCTTTGAGGTGGGCCAGTGGGACATCGCTGAGAGGGACGGGAAATTCACGCTGTCTTCTCATAATACTCGTTACTTTGTAGGATGGAGGCTGCAGCTGTCCTGGGGACGTGGCCAAGGCCTTTGGTAAGGAGGCTGGGCAGATCCTGCAGGGGAGGATGAGTGATCTCTGAGGGTCTAGGGTCAGGATAGGAAAGACTCAGAAAGCCTTTCAGATGCTTTCATAATATGAAATAGTGACCCTGAAGGCTCTGGCATCACCTGGGGCAAGAAAGCAGAGGAAATCCCAAGACTCTGATTTGGACTCTTCAAGTGCAGGCCAGGGCCATCTGCACTGTCCCCTGGATTGTTGGACAGTGTAGATTCTTGAGCCCCACCTCAAACTAGAGAATCAGACACCAAAGAATGGAGTCTTTATGGCTTTCCAGGTAATCCTTACTGACATAGGACAGAGTCTGGTGTGAGTTGCTTTTAAGGGTGGCCATGTGCACACTTTGGCCATATTAATCTCTGTCCTCCTCGTTAGGGGCAGGGGCTGATTTCGTGATGCTGGGCGGCATGCTGGCTGGGCACAGTGAATCAGGTGGTGAGCTCATTGAGAGGGATGGCAAGAAGTACAAGCTCTTCTACGGAATGAGTTCTGAAATGGCCATGAAGAAATATGCTGGGGGCGTTGCTGAGTACAGGTATGTGAGGAGGCCTAGGAGTTGAGGGTACTAGGAAAGTGTGACTAAGTGATGTGGTAGCAGAATTCATGGCTGCTAGGAGATGGATGACACAGGTCTTAGGGAAAAAAAATGGTGGGCAGGGCTAAATGCTAGAGACTGGGGAAGAGTTATCGGGCTGAAGGAATCCAGAAGGAGAAGGTAATAACAGTGTTTCCTACTCTAAGGGCCTCAGAGGGAAAGACAGTGGAAGTCCCCTTTAAAGGGGATGTGGAATATACGATCCGAGACATCCTAGGGGGGATTCGCTCTACATGTACCTATGTGGGAGCAGCGAAGCTGAAGGAATTGAGCCGGAGAACTACCTTCATCCGAGTCACCCAGCAGGTGAATCCAATCTTCAGTGATGGGCGCTAGACCTCTGCAGTTCTGCCCTCCCAAGGCACCAGGACTTGACCACGGGGCCTCTTAAGTGGACTGCTCACCCTTCCCAGCTACTGTGGCTGTTTATAACCTTGTCAAGTCCTCACTCCTGAGGACTTTGCAGTAACTCTGTACATCTGTATCTGCTCACACACAATGCCCAGAGCACTCACTGGGGAGGAAGCAAGGAAGACAGTGAAAATGAAGATAACCAAATAGGAATCCAGAAACCCAGCATCCTGAGGATTAAAAGGAAAAGACTCACACCAACCTATGGTATGATGGTTAAGGTGGCTGGATCCTTTGCTAACTGCTAGATTCAAGCCCCAGACCTAGCAGCTTGAAAAAAACACTGGGTACATGTGTGTCCAGAATGCCAAAAGGAGGGAGATGGAGAAGGAAATGCAGTGTGATCATTTCCCATGGGGAGCACTTTCTCTTTCTCTCACTCTGTCCAGTAAGTGCATGCACTCTCTGGCAACATGTTTGAAAAGAAAACAAAAACAGGAAAGACACTGATTGATGCCATAACTTGTATATGGCCTTGGTCTGGAAGAGGTATGCTTTTAGAATCATGTTTTATTCAACTTCATTAAATGAATATTTTAAAATCTCGGAAGTGTTTACTTATTTGAAACACCTCAATAAAGAGATCCCACTGACTGTAAGGAGGTGCCAGGGCTTTCTGCACAAGGCTGGCATCTGGATGCTGCTGCAGGGTGGTTGCAGGTAGGACTAACACTGACTCAGTGGGATCAAGGGCAATTACTGCTATTACCATTAAGCATCTCCATTCTGGTGCTACCATCCTCAGATAATCTTAAAGCATGAGAATTTATGAAGTATATTCTGGCATTAGGACACCTATTTTCAGATTAGCAAAAGGACATTTCTCTTCCAGGCACTCAAAACTGGTAACCCTTCTGGGCACATTGGAATAATACTTTGCAAGGGAAGTAAAAAGGCAAAAGGATTCTTCCAGCTCTGGAGAGGTCAATTCTGTTTCTAAGGAAAGACCTATGCTGACCTCACAGAAGCTTTTCATTCCCTTTGCTCACATCCAGACAGTGATTTAATAAATCCAAAGTATCATTTTAAAATGTTAACAATATTTTTTGCCATGTAGATTAGCAACCTAAGCCTGGGCTTTCATTCCATTCCAACTAAACTGCTTGCAGAGCTATGGAGGCAGAAGGGCAGAGTGTAGAGAACATTCCAGTTCTACCACAGGGGTCTAGAGCTGCTTAAAGTCATGGGAAAGGACACACATCACTGGGGTCGGAAGTAGGTAGGTAGTTATAGAAGGTGGGGATCAGGGTGTCAAACTTGGTCTTCTGATAGTTTTCCAGAGACTCCTGTGGAGAAGGGAGCAAGGAGATCCTATCATCTGAAACCACTTCCTGGCCCTTCATACTCTGTAGCATGTGGATACCCCATCCCCTCCCCCAGTTTTCTGCTTCTCCCTACTCACCTTGCCTTCCCTCTGGCCATACTCTTCCTCATCAGAATCCAAAACCAAGTCCCCTATGGTAATAGCGGAGTTGCACGGAGATGAAGGACATGCTGCGGGAAGGAAACCAGAATCAGACTACTCCTAGCAGTCAATTTGAAAACGTGATTAAAACATGTGGCCTGTAGACACATGCAAAAAACGCGCTTTTGTAAGCTATTTTAGCAGGGCTATTGAGAAGCATTTACATATAAAAGCAGTATTTGCCTGTGTTAATGGCTGTTTTTTGGTTGTTAATACTCAATACCCAGATACTATCAGGCAAAAGGAAGTCACATGTGTTTATTAAATTGTTTACCCAAAAAGATTAGAGAAATTATATGGCGCCAGTTATTTTTACATCTTTAGACGATTTATATTTAAAAACAACTGGCTTTGCATTTTGATTTTTTTTCCCTTATTTTTTTTTTGCATTCCACTTTTTCATTTTTTTTCTTACATTCTATTTTCCTCTTTCTCCATTTTTTGCCCTGTAAAAGAAAAAAACTTGAGGCTGGTTTTGGTCACAAATTCTCCATTAGAGAAGTGCCCACCCAATTTTTGCTTTTATATACTTGTGTGTCTTTGTGTGTTTGTTATTGCGTCTATTTTTAATCCACAGCCTTTTCCACTCAGAGAAATGTATTTTATACCGAAATGGTCTCGGCAAAGTGGCGCCCAATGTGGGGCC